AAATAAAATAAAATAAAATAAAATAAACAAATCACCAAAGAGCTGGTGAATAAAACTGGTGGAGATAGAAGGAAGTGGAGGAATTTTTATTCTGCAGAGAGCTTTGTCCAGGAATTGATGGGGGTTCCTGGGGGAAAGCTGCCAAGCACAGGAGTTACCATCCTTGTTTAGGGTCGACGTGCGCAATACTCAGCTGGTATCAGTCCCTGGCCACTCCCTGCCTCCACGGGGACCTGTAGAACTCTGCACCAAGCTGCTGTTGATGCAGAGCAAATTTGCACACCTCTGCAACCTTGCCTAGAGTCTTATTCAGCGAAGCAAGTTGTGGTCCATGTTCCTTTTACTGTTTTTTTCCATTTCAGTCTATATAGAGGTTTGGACTTTGCTCCAGTCTGCTAAGATCTGCTCTATACCATTCATAACATCTGGTCCACAGCTTCCAATAATCCACGGCTGCCTTGATATAAGCAACAGCTAACTCTGCATTATGCAAGGGCTTGGTTATGTTATACCATGAGATAACATACATGAAAGTACTCTATAAACTATAAAATTCCATACAAATGAAACAAATGATAGTTGTAATAATTACTATCATCATTGTCGCCTTAGCAAAGACAGAAACCTCTTTGCCAAGGCTTTTCGCATTATGTTCTTTTGGCACTGAAGAACTATTGAGTTACATGCTTTCAGAGAAGAAAGTGTTTTCTGGCATTAAAACAGAAATTTTAAGAACTTGCATTAACTCTTCCAAGCACTGTTACAGAACAGCAGAAAACAAACAAACAAAACCAGTTCCATACCATTCATCCAAAAATATGAGGGACAGCATTTCTCAGTAGTTTACATGTTCAGAACTCAGCATGACCTCTGAGGCATTGTCCTGTCCCCCTCAACACTAGCTACCTTCTTCCCAAGGCCTCCCTACACCAGTCAACTCAGCAAAGCTCAGATTCAATGAGTGCCACATCAGAGACTTGGAAGCAACCTCCACAGCTCTCATTTGAAGCAGATCCAGAAGGTCACTGCATATCTCTGGCTTGGCTCTGGGGACTGTATAAATTGAATAATGACCTTAGTATTCTTGAGTATATTCAGCTAACAAGCAAAGGCCAAAACTAAGCACATGAAAATTGCAAACATGTTTCTTTAACACACAGATGTAAGGGATAGTGGATTGCAGGTTAGTAAAAGCCCTAGTTGCAAAGAAGGAAGCCAAGAAAGGGTGTTAGAAATAAATACTTCTGGGGCTGGTGAGATGGCTCAGTGGTCTAAAGCACCTAGTTAGAACAAGCTTAGCAAAGCATCAGGGACCGCGGTTCAATCCCCCAGCACCACATGCCAGCCAGCCCCGCCCCCTGGTGGGCTGAGCTGGCCACACACA